TGACTGAGTTGACCAAAGCGGTACAGGTTGAAGTATGAGGTTATTGCCGATAGAAGGCAGATTGGAAGCACAGACCAAATGAATACTTGAAATTACCTTTTCGTTGGCCTACTCAAAACTGTTTCTCTTTCTAATGATTACTCGTAATTTGTATTAGAGTTTTCTTTTTTTGGCAATATAGATTTTTAGAAAAAAATTTCTAGTTTTAGCTTTTCTTTCTTTCTTAATCTGGTTATGGCACTTTAGTTATTATATGACAAAACCTTTTTTTTTGCGGATTTTAATCTTTTAAAGATTTTAAGGTGAAAGAAGGAGGGTTTGAATACATTTCAAAAGAATATTATAGTTTTAGATAATCATCTTTTTTGTGCTTACATTATTTTGCGCAAACTAAATACTTGATTAATTATGTGAAAAAACTGTCAACAACATTTACCGTCTTTCTGTGTTTATATTATTATATTTTTTAGCTGTGAAAAGAAAAAAAACTTCAAAACTTTAGATTTTATGTCTCTTTTTTTTCCTGCTTATTTGTTATTTAATATCGTAAATATATTCTATTTAAATAATTGTTTTTTTTCTTCTCTAACGTTTCCTGTTAAAAATAAACTTGTAAAAAGGTTTCTAAAGCAGCTCAATGCACTTTTGGCTGGCTTTGGCTGACCATTGCGTTACCAATTTGTGGCTCGTCAAAAAATAGTGCAAGAAGTATAAATTGTGAAAAAAGGTTCAGAAATCTCCGCAGTTTACCATTAGTACATCTGTTTCTGCTTTTAAAACAACAAATAATGCCTTTTTTTTGGCAAAACTTTAAAATACTGAATTTAAGTTGTGGTTTTTGTTGTTGTTGTTGCTATTGATGGTGGTGGTGGTGGTGGTGGTGGTGCTGTTGTTACTGCTACTGCTTGCGCTAATTCATACATTTGTAGCTTCTACTGTTTCTCCTGTTTTTACTCCTTCTGTTGTTGGTTGATAGTGTTGCTGTAATCGTCATTCAATTGACCAGCAACCGGAAGCTCGGAACATCAGCATCGTTAGCAGTAACAGTGGAATATATTCAATAAATGAAATCTGAAATGAAATAAAAAAAAAAATAATGAAAAAGTCTTGTTACAGTTTTAAAAACAAAACAAAAAAAAAACAAAAATGTTTGAACTATTACAGCAAAAACATAAATGATACTAACACTTTAACTTGGCTTTAATTCTTCATTTTTTTTTCTTTTTTTTTTTTTGTTTTTGCTCTGTTAATTTTGCGATCAAACCGATTAAAAAGTCGTCTGTTATACGTTTAGCACATTTGTTACCAAAGATTTGTTGGTTGTCAGAAACTGCTTATGCAACGCTTTTCTCATTTTTCTGCTAATAAATCTTTTTACATTTTAAAGAGAGAAAAAAAATTGTAAAGAAAAAAGAAAATTTCTTTTCTACATTTTGACACTAATTAAACAAAAAACACAAATGAACTGACAACCACTAAAAATGATTTCTACACAACTGCCTAATCATTAGCAATAGTCGGAAACAGGAACGGGGAAAAAAATCAAAACAATTGAAGTAACAATAAAACATTGTTGCTTAAAGAAGAGACACATAATTTTATAATAATAAAGAAATAAAAAAGTAGCTTATATCTGATAATGCTGTAACATTTATCCTTTGGCTGTCAATAAAAACACTGCTTTTTACGATCTGATAGAAGCGGTCAAATCAATTTATTGGTAATCAGTTTTGTAAATTTAACGCAAAAAGAACTTATGTGCAAAAAAAAAATTGGTATACAATTCCTATAGATCAAATTATTTCTTTGCTCTATCGGTAAACCAAAAATGTTTGTCCAGCAACAGATTCACACATTTTTCTCAATTAATGAAGTATCAGGAAAAAAAAAGAGACAGAAAAACGCTTCTAACAACTTAATCATTACATTTGACTGCGGAATAGTAATACTTTTTTCTTCTTTCTATTTCGGTAGATATGTACGTATAATCGTTACGGCGATATAAATGCTTTATAGTCAATGTAAATTGGCAATTTTGCAGCTATAACATCAGAAAAAAAAATGCTCACCACAATGGCAGTTCTTTTTTTTTTTTCTTTACTTGTATTATATTTGATCGGTTTTAATAAAACCTTTTGTAGAGCAATAATTTCAGCTGTTACCAGTTATTTTTTGTTGTTTTTACTTTTAGAAGATCACGTAGATCAGATGCCTCATCCATCATCGGGACGATTTCCAACTTACATCCCATGGCATCCTGGATTCTGCGTTGCTCGAACCGATGAGCGCTCGCTGATATGCTATCGTAACGAACAGGTGAACCACACATATTTGAACAGTTACAACAGAAATATTTCTCACCATTTTTTTATTGCTAAATTTTTTTTACACTATTTTCGACAAAAAAAAAAAAAAAAACAACAACTTTTTTTTAAAACTTTTGCTAATAAACAATGAATACCAGAAGAATTTTTTTTTTTTTAAAACGAAAATGAAACAGAAGAAGAAATTTTTTTTTTTCAAGATGAAAAAGTATTCTTTATTTGAGAAAAGAAAAATTAAATATTTTGCATTGACATTTGACAGAGATTAAGTGAAAAAAATAAAAAAGGCGGAAAAAAGCTGATTTTACATTATCTAAACAAATAATCGCATAGTTTTAAATTGCAAAAACCACTTTTACGAATAGTTTCAAGAAGATTGTTGATTTTTTTTTTTTATTTTTAAACCTAAACCTTTAAAAAACGTTAAAATTTTTTTAATTGAAAATTTCAAAACTAATTTTTTTTTTTGTTTTTCACTTTTCACATTTATGTAATCAACAGCAGTTCGAACCTGAATATAATGAATCATCGCTCTGACTAAGTGCATTAAAGTTCAATTCTGAAAATACCTTAGTTAAGATTTTTTTTTAAAATTAACCTAAACTAAGACATTTATTAAGACAGAATGATCAAATAGAATTCTTGTGAACATCAATTAGCATAAAAAAAATTTATTCCTCGTAAACTATTCATCCAAAAAATTGTTTGCATGTATTTTTTTCTATTGACTTATTTACTTGACATATAATCGCAATATTTTCTTCTAAGGCCGCAAATCGGGTAGGTAGATATCTGCCTAAAACTCGACTGGATGGCGGCTTCAGAAACTTTTGGAAACATTGGCGAACTAATGGCTCGCAACTTCATCCCCTTATGGACGGCGAATCACATAGTAAGCTGAATGAACAAATTTTTTGCCTATTTTGCTTTTTCTACACTATTTTTTCCCCTGTCTTTTACAACATTCTTTTTTTGTTTTTACAATCAACAAAAACCAATGTAAATTGTTCAGATTTGTTTTCCTTCAGATGAAGCCTGCTTTGGTGTTTTTACGGATCTATCAACCTATCCAACAATGCGAGGGTTAACCTATGTGCTGAAAGAAGAATCAATTGATGATCTGATTACAGACAGTTTGCCGATGATTCCACGAACGATACGGTGCTCAACAGTTCGACCATTACCGAAAAAACATCGAAGTAAGTCGGCTTCCAGTTTCTTCAACTAACTGCTATTCGTTTTACTAACATTTTCAGGTTTATTTGTTTTTGTTGTTTAGCTTAACGTGCATTTGCAATTACAGGAAATGGTTCAGAAATTGGTTACAAATGTTAATTTAAAAAAAAAAAAATTTTTGTCTTTTTACGCAAATTTTTATATTTTTATTTTTTTTTAACTGAAGCATTACCGTTGTCAGACGTTATTGTTCTGGTGGTATATCAACAACTGCTATAAAATTCACCATTTGTAGCTGCATTACAGAACAAAAAATAAAAAATTCCTGTTCCATTATAACCGAGAAGCTCTGTTTCCACTTCAGCAGTTCTCATCATTTTTTTAATTGTTTTTGTTTTTTTTTCCCACAAAAAAATGCTATGGTTAAGGCTGCAACAGAAGCAGTAAAAGCATCGAATAGGTGTTAGTAAATTGATACGAGATCTGTGCCTATTTTGATTTTTACTGTAATTCGCAGGTTTAGCTTAGTATTTCATCACTTTATTTAATTTTTGTACCTATAATTCAGTCACATATTATGTGTAATAATTATACAGATAACAGAACCAATATAATGTTTGCTGCCGAGAGCTAAAACAAGTAAAAAAAAAAGTGAAAACGAAAACAAAAACTCTAATTTATTTTAATGGATTTGTTAATGTTTTTGAAAGAAAGAGAAAAAAAAGAGGAATGAAATAGAGACTTAAAAATATCAAATATTAAGTTGTTTTTTTGTTTTGTTTTGTTTTTGTTTTACTTCGGTTTCACTGTTTCTTTCTGTTTTTTTTGAGATAAAATTAAGAAAAATTTGTGCAAAAAAGAACAATTTTGATGATTTGAAGGTAACAAAAAAAAAACTTGCAATCGTTTTTAGCAAAATTTTTTTTATGTCCTACATTTTTGTTTCTTTGTTTTTTTTTTGTTTCTGCTTTATTTTTATTTGGTTAATTCGCAAAACCCTTAAAAGACTTTTGCTTTGCTTATTTTTTTTGCTTTTATTCTTATGAGTATTCCTAAAATTTCAACTGTTTAATTATTTTATTTAACACAAAAAGATGATTCAGAAGAAGAAGGGGAGAAAAAAAAGAAAAGGAATAATCTTTTCTTTCATAAAACAGAATTTTTTTGTAGAAGAAACTGTTTGAAAGGTAGAACAGTATACAGCTTTACTGGTGCTATTCCCGTGTTGATTAGCTCAAAAATCTAGGTAAGTTTTTTGCTCGACTTATAGATGTCGGTAACGACGACAACGACGACAAAAAAAGCAGCAACAACAGCAGTATTTATGGCAGTGGTACCGAGTAGGAAGGAGGGGGGGAAGGGGGGAGAAAGGGAGGAAATGTATAAAACAAACATCAAATTGCACCTATCAATTGGTGAAAATTTGTTGCACATGTCCCGTTTCAGTTTTGCAATTCTGTCTTTTCTCTTCATTCTTTTTCTTTACATTTTTGACTTTAGTTTTTTTTTTTTTCTATAAAAATATTACTCGAAAAAAAAAATTTTTTTTCTTGTCGAATATGGCACTTTTTTTTTTACAATGTCCAAAACTAACGGTACTGTGTCGGAGTGTTTTTAACCGGTAGTGTTGGATAAATCATTCACTTAAAACAGTCGAATTTCTTCTGCCAATCTATCATACTATTTGAGTAAGGCTCACGGTTTAGTAATTTTTATTTGTCCTTTTTTTTTCTTTGTCTTTTACTTCAAATTGCTTTTGTTGCTGTAAATCGCTGCATTAGCTATTGGAAAGGATTGTCTTTTTTTTTTCTGCTGACAGTGAAACAGCTGTGCAAATTATATGTATTAGGAATTGAGATCACTATTATTAGTGTTTTGGACGACATATATATTGGCTACAAATGATGATGGCGGGTGTCCAGTGGTTTAGGCCAGAAACAATTCTGTTGTTTAGGAGGAAATCGCAACAGCCAGGTATCATTTATATTCATGTTTTAAGACAAAATAGCTTTTAATGGTTTTGTGTTTAATGCTGGTCAGTTCGGAGGCTTTTATCGACGTTTATAAAAGCATTTGGTTGTGAAATCTGGCTAAACCTAGCCTAATTTTCTTGATTGTTGTAGAGCAGATTTCTAGTGCCAATTTAGCTGGATAATAATTCAACCTATAATAGTACTTTTCTTTTTTAGCTTGAATTCAAATGCAAAATGTGTTGCTTTTTCTATTCACTTTTTTGTTTTTTTTTCTGCTTTTTTTGGCCAAGAAAAATTGTTGCTTTTTTATTAGAAATAAAAATTGGTTTTTGAAAGATGTTTTTTTTTTTTTTTCTGCAGTTTATAGCGCTGACGATGACGATGATAATGAGAAAGCTCAACTAAAGCATCAAAGGAATTAGAATGATTCAGATTTCTTTTTGTACTGCTATCTTTTTTTACTTATTGAAATATGGGTTACGATTGTTTCATCTTTAAGCATTTAAATTGGTTTTTTTAGACGAAATTTAAACTTTATTTGCACTGAGTATAGTCATGTTTGCAGAAAGGTGTACAGATTTTTTGCTTCTGTTTTTAGCATTACTCAAGGAATAATTATAAACGTAGGAAAAAACGAAGGAGAACTAGTAACCAAATAAGTGATTTTAAGATTTGTTAGATAATCTTTTATTGCTTCAACAGTAGTAATATGATGTAGTAGAAAAATCATTTGGTTTTTTCAGTTATTATCAAACATTTCGTCGTCATCAGTATCATCACTGCTACAGCTGTGTAATGGCATAACTAAAAGTGTACATATGAGTGAAGTAGAATCATAGTTTACTTTAAAATTCACAATATACATATCTAATCAATGCACATTTTTTGTCGCTTTTTTTTCCTTTCTGCCTGAAAATTTAGATTGCTTAGTTTATCGTATAATATTGGATTTTGACGGCTATATCCATTTCAGTTGACAAATAGCAGTACGTAGTTTTGAATAAGTTAAAAAAATACGATAATAAAATGACCAGTAAAAAAAAAATCGTGCAACTGAACAGATGAATAAATAGAAAAGAGAAAAAACTAAGATGAGGTTAAATTAACGACTCAAATATTAGATAGTTTAACTGTTCTTTTCTGGCTCTAGTTTTGTCATACTTTAGTTTTATATTTCAATTAGGCCAAATTTTTTAGATTTAGGAAAAGTTACTGTTTTTTTCTTCAATTGATTGCTATTTTTTGCTTGACAAGAAATTTGGAAAATTTCTCTAGAACAGTTAACTTCAATCAAATTATCTCAGCGACGTTACACCATTATTATTATTATTCTTTTTTTTCAGTATTTTCTACCATTTTTTTTGATTTCTTATTTTCTTTTGTTAGCATATTTATAATTGAATAAATTGTATTGTACTGTCATAACTGCGATCAAAAGTTTATAGGAATTTTGAGAGCAGCTGTTTCTACAAAAAAAAAAA